GTTTCAGAGGCTACAAGTCTGAATTCAGGGCATGGCTCTAGGGAGAGGTCCTTCCCTGTCAGCAGCCCTGTGAGTCCCTTGGTGTCCCTTGACATGTGCCTTCCTCCTGTGTATGTCTCAGTGTCTATTCTGACCTTTGTGTAACCCGGAGGTGATTATGTTTAGAACCCATCCTACCTCAGTAAGAACTCATTAACATCACAAAAGAAAACCCCTGTTTCCAAACAGGGTCCTATTAACAGGTACAGGGGTTAGGATTTCAACACATGTTTTGGGGAGGACACAGTTCAATCCATAACACACTGATTATAAAATGTATCATTATTTCATCTGCTATCAAAGAAGAACAAAGCTGCCAATTAAACTATGACGTGCTATTGATTATCAGATGCCTCCACATTTCCAAACTGGAAAAGTGTGAAAAATTGTGTATTTTAAAATCCAGTGATATGTGAATTAATAAGAGAATACATGTAAAATGCTTCCCAGGCCATTTTACTTACTATGCGATGGATCAGCTGTTTATGAGTCAAGAGAAAGTGACTGGAAGATATTTTATTCATCACAGTATAAGGAGTTAAGTGATGTACCAAATTTTGCTTAGATATGGGCAAGAAAAATTTAGGAAGAGTTTGGATTGGCTTGTAATGAAATGAGTATTCTGACAGAAAAGGCAGACGACTGATTTAAGATGCCATTTGGCTTCCTAAAGCTAACAGTCTTTTGTGGAGAGGCATCAGGATCCTGAAATCTTTTGCTGGAAATGTCAATATTTGCACAGAGTGCATCCGATGTTTGATTTATCCTTTTGAGTTCATGGATCTAAGCATTTTGGATTCTTCATTGTACCCAAATTTAGTTACTTGGAAACAGAAGGGTATTTGAGTCTTAGAATCTGCAATATAATCTAGTTGAATCCTCACCCCTTTCTGTAACTACAGGTAAACTGTTATTCCATGACCATAATCCAAAGGAACAATCTTCTTAACGTTATTTGTGTATATGGTATATAAATGAAATAATAAACACCGTAGCATTAGCATAGCAGTACCTTTTGTTTACAGGCGATTTGTTTAAAAAGTACATGTTTTATGAATTTAAGTTTATTTAAAAATATGGCATTGGTAATCCACCACTTGCCACATTGGAATATCCCAACTTTCCTGGAGCTACAGGAAAAAAACACCCCCATACACTAGCACACACCAATCTAAAGTTCAGGGCTTTTTATAGTTACATAGAGGCAAGCATATTAAATTATTATGCCACATTTCTGCCAGGCTTTGACGTTTTTCGAATTCTCTGCTATAAAGGAACCCAAACAGTTCCCAAGCCTCGTGGCTGGCGGGAGGTTTTGCGAGAATAATCTATACATGTTAACTAAGGCGTCTGCCGATGCCCCTGGCAGGCAGGCAGGTAGGTAGTGACATCCCCACTCAACAAAGGAGCAAGAGGCCAGAGGGCAGGAAAGCCGGGACCTGAGTCAAGGCCAGGAAGAGGCGCTTGCAGAGCTGGATTTAACGAGCTCATGTGTTCCAGGTTACCAGGCCTGTGTTCGGCCCTCCTCTCTAGCTTTAATCCTACGGGCGCTAGATCCTCTCTCCCCTTTGAAGTCCAGGGGCTGCTGGGCAGGGAGAATCCTGTGCATCTGCCTTTGTCATTCATCCTTTAACCAAAGCGCACAGAGAAAAGTCAAGTGAGGAGCCCAGAGGCACTTGGTCTGTAGTGCTTGTTTTCTTCTGAAGAACCGCAGTTAACTTTAGTGATCATTTCTGTCGAAGTAGGTCTCTGAAGACTACTCTGAAGATTCTTCCCTTCTTTACACCGTTAAAATGTGTTAAATTGTCTAGAGTGTGTGTGTGTGTGTGTGTGTGCACGTGTGTGTTATTTTTTTGTTTCCTTTTTCTGAGCTTTACTTCATTCTAGGTGTTCTGAAGCTTTTGTTTAATCAGAATCCTTTGGGGGCATGGTTTTGATTGCTCTATCTTTCTAGAATGTGGACTCTTTTTCAAACGTTTATCCTGAACCTTCCTCATTTTTAGGCTGTTTTTTCTCTATGGGAGCAGACAACTCTGGAGTTGCTTTTGAGATTCTGCAGTGTATTACTTTCTCATTCATGTGCAATATTAACTTCGAGAAGAGTTTTAAAATGAAGATTAAAAAAAGAAAAAAAGATGTGTGTCTCTAGCTTTCGTAAGGTTTAAAAAAAAAATCAATCTCAATTAACTTTGATTTCTTTCTTTAGAAAACCATGTGCTGAAATAATGCTTCACCAGATGTGAGAATGGATTCCTCCCCCTCCAAACACACATTTCCGCCTCATTTTAGTTCTAATGTTTTGGCCCAGGCTGTTCAATCTTACACAACATTTATTTGGTCAGTGGCTTTGTTTTCAAAAGTACCTTACTTGATCTGGGAGATATACTACTATTTTAAAGTTATTGCTTTTCTTTCTTTTTTTTTTTTTTTTTGTGGTTGGAGCCATTTTCTTTTTAGTTTGTAATTTAAAAGTCAGCCCGTCCATTATTTGTAAGCGATTTCTGCCAATTTCTGATCTAAATCGCACCTTTATAAATGCGTCTCGTTACTCGTGAGCCAAAGCTAACATTACATCGTATGTTATTCCCCTATAAGCCTTGGTTGAGGCTTCAGGACAGGAAGGAGAAGGGCAAAGCAAGCCACCAGCCTTGTTTTCTGTTGTGCCTGTGTGAAATCCTTCTATCCAGTGCTTCCGGGGGGAAGGGAGTGTCTGTTTTGCAAAAATTATTTAAGCAGCTGTAATTTTCTCGTTTATTATTTAATACGACAACACTAAGTCTCTGGTGTCTATTTCAGGTATAAAGCCACTTCTCTGAATTTAGGCAGATTCCTCTGTTCTTCCACACACTTTGTACCCAGTAGAGAGCCTTGTAACCCACTTTCCGTGATGTCTAAGATGCCATTTCTACGTGCTCAACTGTGGTGCTGCCTTGCGCGTTTCTGTTTGTTGAAGTGTTTGATTTTGCACTAAGTTCCAAGCGCATTGATTTTTGAAAATTTTTTTCTTGTGCTGATTCTGTTTCTCCAGCTGGGAAAACAGAGTCTTGTGTGCGTTTTGCATTACTGTTTAAACCTCTGGTTTAGTCTCTCTGAGTCACCAGGGCTGTGATTTTAGGGATGCTGAAGAAGTTTGTGGGGGGTGGGGGGGTGTTACCTATGCGCAGACATCTGTCACCACTCTGACAGATGAAGCTTTGAGTTTGTTACTTCTGATTCTTCGTAGTCCAGGGGATCCGGCAGTGAAGTTCATGTACTTGGGCGCCTACGAAAAAAGTTGAGGACTTAGAAAAAACTGTTTAATGATGTGGATGGTCTGTGGGTAGGGGTGTGCTAGACTGATGGAGGAGTATCCACTGGATGTGAGGGGTCGTTACACAATTGCCTGTGTTCCCTAAAGATGATGATACTTAAGGGTATAGAGGAAGACCTTTACCTAGAATGGCTGCTTCCTAAGGCTCTGTTACTGATGGGGAGCATCCTTCATTATTTAAAGGTCAACTGAAGGAATAAAAAGGTAGCATTAATTTAAACACAGATCCCAAACCAAAAGGTGCGAGAAGGACCTTGTCGGCTGTAGGGGCAGGAGGGGCAGAAGACCGAACATAAGTCAGTTTTATCACTAATTGTCTGGTTGGTCTTGGCGAGTTCGCTTCAAGGTACATCTGGATCCTATTGGATCACCTATTTTTCATTTGGAGATGAGAAATTTGGACTAGAAGGTCTCTGTGGTCCCCTCTGGGCCCAAAGTTCCATTTGAAAAATTAGTACTCCAACCAGTATTGGTTTCTTATAAAACCAGTTGCCATCAGGTTGACTCCGACTCATGGCAAGTCCATGTGGGTCAGAGCAGAACTGCATTCCATAGGGTTGTCAATGGCTGACTTGTTAGAAGTAGATTCCCAGGCTTTCTTCCAAGGTGGACTCAAACCTCCAACCTTTCAGTTAACAGCCAAGCATGTTAACCATTTGCATCACCCAGGGACTCCAGTTTCTCACTAGGTGATAGCAATACTGAGAATGCCAAGGGACTGAAATAAAAATGTGCTATCACGCACGATTACTTTTTCTGTTATATAAACCACGTCGTATTGTCTCGTGGTTGCTCTGTGTTGAAATTTCCAAATCAAGTTCACCTTTGCTGACTTGGCTCTAGAGTACAGGAATAGCCAGAGGCTAACAACTTGTTTAACTTAAAACCACAGGAAAAAGAAAACATCCAACAATAAGAGTTTTCTGTTTCTTCTTACCTAACCATGCAAGAGAGCAAACATGTTAATAAAAAGTAAAGACAGTGATGCAGATATTTTAAACATCCTTGTATTTGGACGCATCTGGATAGTTCACAGCTTTTTGTTGTTGTTCATTTATCATCCAGATGTTCACCATTATGGAAGCACCACTTCAAACTCTATTGCAGCTAATAACTTAGAGTGGAAAAATTCATATCTTTGACTGCTTGACATTTGGCCCTCCATTTCCCCCCCTCACTCTTCTTCTGAGTACCTCTTCCTCAAAATCTCCTGGGAATGTGGCAGTTTTGCTAGATGCTTAGGTGTTAGCCTTTGCATTACTTTTTTTAATCTTCATCACCGTTCTGTACCCTGTCTGCTTGAATTATAGATTGCATTTGTCAAATAATGACACATGCAATTGGATGTCTTCTAAGACCTTTGAAATTCTACTTCCTTAAGTTGAGATTAAAGTGGGTATTATCTGCTCGGCTGCAGTCAAGCCTGGGATGCTTCAGGACCTGCATAAGTTTTTCTAGGCTGGCCAGTCCTGACTCGTATGGTCTGGAGGGAAGACAGCAAGGTCCTTTTCTGCTTCTGAAAGGTAGAAATGGATCTCATGAAAACAACCTAGGATGTAGTCCCACTTAGAAGTGACTCTGAAGTCAACAGCTTCTTGAAACATGACTGTCCTTTGGGATGTCCTGAGTATCTGTCTCTTTGGGCATTCAGGAAGCATTATCTGTCGTGAGCGAGGACCAGTCGCTGTTTGAGTGTGCCTACGGAACACCGCACCTGGCCAAGACAGAGATGACTGCATCCTCCTCCAACGATTATGGACAGACGTCAAAGATGAGTCCACGCGTCCCTCAGCAGGACTGGCTGTCTCAGCCCCCCACCAGGGTCACCATCAAGATGGAATGTAACCCCAACCAGGTGAACGGCTCAAGGTAAGGAGACTGCTGATACCTGTCCCCCGTGGCCTCCCACTTTCATATCGCTTGAAAGGGCAAGGTGGAAATGCATCCCACTTCTCCAAAGAGTGTTTTCAGAAAGCAAGACCCTTGACCAGTAAGTTGGGGCAACGTTGAGAAAATGTGTTCTCCAGTGGTTGGCGTTGAGGATAAGGGTTGTAAAACCAGTAGTATGTTTACCAAGCACTCTCTTTGAAGATGTGGTGTTCAATTCCGTTCCCCAGGCATGAGGACTCGGTGGGAGGTGGGGCTGGCTTGCCCACATGTGGCAGAATTCATCTCTGAGGTTTTTATTGCCTGGGAAATAACGCTGTCTTATGTTTTTATGGAGGGAGAGTGTTGGCTAGTAGCCAGACAGTACAGCATATGTCCACGCCATTTGTCTCTGCTAGTGGATCTACTTTCCTCCTCGTCCCCTTGATGCATGCTTTTTTCTTCTTATCTTGACTTATACTTAAAACTAAATTCTGATGCCTCCCATTATTAACTTTGCTGGCTTTGTCGTGAAAATGCCACTGTCACATATAATGTAATATCGAACGCAGAACTGCCTCTGGCACTCAAAAGCATTTCACTAGATATGATGTAGCTTCGAAAAGTAAAGTTGATTTCAATTATGACTGAATACCTCACATCTGTTTAGGAAAGAGGATATAAAATCACAGCACAAAGCAAGGATAATTTCTTGTAAATGGTGCGTAATCTGACATAGATGAGGGCAATGGTGGTTCAGTAATAGAATCCTCGATTTCCATGCTGGAGACACAGGTTCGATTCCTGGCCAAGGCACATCATGGACAGCCACCATCCTTCTATCAGTGAGGCCTGTGTGTTGCTTTGATGCTGAACAGGTTTCAGCAGCACTTCTAGACTAAGAAAGACTAGGAAGAAAGGCCTGGTGATCTACTTGCAAAAATCAGTCACCAAAAGCCCTGTGGTTTACAACAGTCAGATCTGCAACCAATCATGGGGATGGTGCAGGGCCAGGCAGCATTTCATTCCGTCGTGCATGAGGTCGCCATGAGCAGGGGCCTGACTCGATGGCAGCGAAGAACAGTCTAACAGACGGTCATTAAGAACAGCTCACATTTTCTAGTACTTTCCTATATAAAAAGCTCTTTTACATCCAATAGTCCATTAGTCCCTCCAGCATCCCCGGGAGGAATGCTTGTCCCCATTTGATGGATGAGGAAACTGAAGCCCAGGCATTTTTTTGGCTAACCCAAAAATCACCTCTTAAAGTGACTCAAAATAATGGGACTGGGTGTTTAACTCCACACCCAGGACATTTTCTGCTCCATTACAGCTATAATAGGGACTTTTTTGTTATGTATATGTTTTCATGATAAATATGTTTTTTATAAGTGTCATGTTTTCTGAGCACTGGAAACCACTGCATCAACTTCTAGTGCAGCGTTAATGAAGGTGTCAAGTCACACTGCCTTAGAGGCAACATCAACATTGAGGCTGTGCGTGCCCAGCAGGGTGATGGAAGATGCCAGACCCTTCCTGGATCTGAGGAGTCAGTTCACATCTGGGCATCTAGTTTCTCCTTGCCAATGGGAAGGACGATTCTAATACTGGATATTTTGAATATTGCTACAACATGGGTCCCATAAGTGGAATTCAAGCCAAAGAAGGCCCATCTTGGACCTCATCAAGGATTAATTCCTGAAGTTCCAAAGGGACCTCGGTAGAAAATGCAGTCATAGGGCCCAGAATGTCAAAGTCCTGGCAAGTTAGTGACTATGTGTCTGTATTTTACAGGTCAATCTTCATTTGATAGAATGTGCCCCCGATGATTAACTATATATTTCTGAGACTTAGAGGAATACTGTATAATCATATCGTAAAAAATGGAACAGTGTTTATGTAAAAAAAATAGTTTGTGACATTGGAAAGATTGGATTCTGTTTCTGATGGAGTCATGTGATCCCATATAAGCTACGGTAGTCATGGTGTGAGCATTGAGATCAAGAAGCATTTCTAAGGCTTTTCTTCTTCAGAAGCTAATTTATATCCACAGAAAATACATGCGCAATTGTGTGTGTATGTGAGAGAGAGACAGACAGACTGAGAGAGACAGAGAAAGGAGAGAGAGGAGAGAAAGACAGAAAGAGACAGGGAGAGGAGAAAAGAGAGTGTCCAGAAGAGAAAGAGGGGAGAGAGAAGAAAGAGCAAGAGAAGGAGAGAGAGAGCAAATGTGAGAAAGAGAAGAAAATGAGAAAGAGAAGGGAGAGAGAACAAAAGAGAGAGAGGGTGGAAAGAGGAGAGGGAGAGCAAGAGAGCGAGAAGAAGGAGAGAGAGAGGCAAGAGAAAGAGGGAGGGAGTGAGCCTCGGGTGGGCAGACGAGTGCAGAGGGATGTGTACCGTGGTCATGTCCACCTGGCAAGAAGCATAGTGGACCGTGCCCTGGCCTTTTTCGGGACAGTCTGGCCAAGGTCACTCCAGGAATGCCAGTCTGGACTTACCAAGCCTCAGAAGGAGACTGATCAAGGAGGTGAAAGTCCTATTGCAGAAACAACAGTTTCTCTAGTTCACACCATGCTATTCTTGAATTAAAAAAAAGAAGCCTGGTGTCTCCTGGGAAAAGTGTAGACACTGTTTTCTTCAACAGAGGCCTGTGACTTCCTTCAGTAGCCGACACCCACCCCCTGCCAGTCAGGCATGTGGCGGCCTTCCCAGGCTGTGGTGGTTTACCACAGGAACTTGAATGGGGGTGCCAGGCACCCCAAGCTCAGGTTGAGGGGCTTCCGTCCCCAAGCAAGACATGGTCCCCTAGGCAGCATCCCTCATGTCCTCAGCCCTGCTGCCCAGGAAAGACTCTTTCATCCAGCAGGTGAGGAGACTGGGGTTGAGGGTCTCTTCCCTGAAAATGAAATACTTTTCAAAGGGAGCTGGACAGTTTTTTCCTGCAAGAGAACAATTTTAGGTGCCGGCCAGTTGATTTTTGGCTCATAGCAACCCCAAGTGACAGAGTAGAACTGCTTCATAGGGTTCTCTAGGCTGTAATCTTTACGGGAGCAGATCGCCAGGTCTTTCTCCCTCAGAGCTGCTGAGTGGGTTCGCACAGCCGAGCGCTTAACCACTGCACCACCAGGCCTCCTTCAAGGGAACAATGGGAATATTTACTGTCTTGCTCTCTCTCAGACCGTCACAGAATTCTAAGATTGCTTGGGATGCTCCTTTTAAAGCATAGTTCCGGCTATCAAAGCAAACTGATGTGGTTTTGGTGGGTTGGTCCCAAGTGCAAGTCTGTCATGCTGTCGTCCTTGTCTTCATCTTGGATTTACAGTGATACTGTCTTGGCAGATGCTGTCCATGAGACAACAGGGTTGGCTCCATTTACCTTTGATCAAAGTCCATGCAATTTCTTGACAGAAAATGGTAGCTGTTGTCAGCCTGCCTCATGGTGACCCCATGCACAACAGAACAAAATGCTGCCTGTTCCTGGCCATCTCCATGATGGATTGGGGGGCTCGGACCATTCTTATCCCGAGGGTTTTCATTGGCTGATTTTCAGAAGTAGATCGCCAGGCCTTTCTTCCTAGTCCATCTTAGTCCGGAAGCTCTACTGAAGCTTGTTCAGCATCATAGCAACATGCAAGCCTCCACTGACAGACGGGTGGTGGCTGTCCATGAGATACTTTGGCTGGGGATCAAACCTGGGACTCTCCCACGGAAGGCGAGAATTCTACCACTGAGTCACCATTGCCCTGGAAATATGGTGGGCCTGGGGGGAAATGGGGAGGGACGGAGCTCATTTGCTTCAGAAACCTCGCATCCAGTGGCATCATTCCCCATGCCCAAGAATCTTCTAGGAGATAGCACAACGACAAGTATTAGTCCTGGTGTAGACGACAGAAATGCAGAATGTACCCATCCTCCCACAGCCCAGAGTTCCCACAGGAGTGGAGTGGAGGGCTTGCCTGGTGTTCTTTGGCTGGGGAGCAGTTCCTTCCTCTCTCCAGTGTTCAGGGGTAGCGTCCTGTTCCCAAGGGCTCAGCCTGGCCAGACAGAGAGCGGTAGAGGAGATGATGCATCAGTTCACGAGGGGACCCTTCAGGCTGTGACCTCGCAGAGCATGGTGAGGTGGTTGGCAGTCGGAGTTCGCTCTTCAGAGCCCCCCAGGCTGCCTGAGAGGCCCTGCAAGAAAGCAAGCCATAAAACTCAAAACCACGCATCCCTTGTGGAGAATTAGCAGCCTAGCAGCAGCGGACCTGGCTGCCTTGGATCAGATCCACAGATGGTACCTGCCTGCCCTGTGATCTTCATGCGTGTAGTTCCAGTTCCATGAAAGGAACATGGGCATGTGCGTTCACACTGTGTTCATTCCGGAGACCTAGAGTGGGAAGGGGGTGGAAGGTGGGGGAGATGGTAATGCAGAGACCTTGGAGACAGGGATCCTGCCCGGGAGGGGCTCATAGCGGGGATGCTTTGGGAGGGGGCGTGGTCCTAGAGCGGGTGTGGCTCTGAGGTGGATGTGGTTCTGGAAAGGTGGGTGTGGTTCTTGGTGGGCGTGGCCCTGTGGAGGTCGTCGTGGTTCTGGGGAAGTGGGCGTGGTTCTAGGACGTCAGCTTGGTTCTGGGTGTGGATGTGGTTCTGTGGGCATGGGCGTGGTGCATGAACCTGCTAGCAGCCAAAACCTTCCACCTCTCGGCATCCTTCCAGAGACTATGCAGTCACCCTTCACAAGAAGGTCCTGTGCCAGGTGTGCCAGGGAATTAGGGCCTATTCGAGAAGAGACACCGATCTCAGCCTCAGCTCAAAGGCTTTTTCTAATTGTTGCTCCTCTGAGCTTATATATAGTATACTTTCATGTAGCACACATACCTCTTGAAGTCCAAGGGGAGCTGGCCAGTGTAGGCTGCTACCTGTCTGGCTCTTCATTGCCCTTTCACGTATCCTTTTACAGGAGAGAGGTTCTTTTTCCAGCTTTGACCTCGCCAGCGCATGCCTTACCTCCTTACTTAGCG